AGCTTGAAAACAGATGGGGGGGGGGGAAGGGGGGGGGGGACGAAACGACGTGTTAATTATGGCTGGCCAGAGGCTGGCCATTGTGGGCTCTGAGAAACGCAGGATGGGATAATCGGACGGAAAAATTAGCTCGATTTTCGTTGGTTTCCCCTAACTGTGAACGTCACTGAAACATATGGTGACCTAGTCGGAGATTCTGTAATGCGGGACACGTGAGCAATGGGGAGGGGGAGGGGGGGGGTTGACCTTGATACATATTTCAGAAGCGCATGCCATGAAGGACGAAGAATGGAGAAAAAATATATATCGCATTCCTTCTGTTTTTGCATTGCGGTGCATTTCCAGCGTTTCATTGCGATCGAGAGACGCGGAACAATCGAAATTCGGGACTGTCCCGTTCTCTTCGGGACGATCGGTCGGCCCTGGCGGAGAGAACTCGCGATTCGTCAGAAGTAGATAGAATTGAAGAAAGAAGGCCGTGAAATTCGCCACGGAAAAAAGAAACGAAAAAAGAAGAAAAGTTTCTCATAGGCATGGGTAATATCGCCTCAGTTCACTTTGACAGCAAATTAACGGGTGCAGTCGCGTCCATCATCCAGGAATATTTCTATCACGGTGGCGTAATGCATCGCAGCTTGCAATTTCGCGTTGCTAATTCTTCCGCCGCGGAGCGTAAGCCAAAGCGACAAATGAATGAAAGTGGATGAAAGTGGATGAAAGCGGATGAAAGCGGATGAAAGTCACCTCTGTTGCCAGAAGCCCTCGCCGTCCCTGGAAGCATGCCGCTGCCGGGTGAGACTGCAGGGGCGGCAGGAGGACGGGACGGCGAGGCCCCCCGATTCCGCGTGCAGCCGCCAGGCCACGTCCCGCGGGAGGCATCAGCGGGTCGTCTCCTACAGCCTCTACCTGGAGGGGAACGGGACGGAGGGCGACCGGAGGAAATACCAGGATCCTCTCGGGTACCTGCCTCGGTTGGTGGCCGACCATTATCCGGGTGAGATTGGGTGCGACCGTGCCGATTTTCTATTGCTCGCTGAGGAAACTCATTTCGCTCTCTCTAATCGACGTTAAGGGAAATTCGGGGATGAGGATGTCTTCGTTTTTTGCTTTCTTTTTCCGAGTTTCAGCGCGAAGTTTTCCTCGACGTTTGCGGGAATTCTGTACCGCTTCGAATTCCTCCGAATATTTACCGCAGCGTGGGATACACTCGACCTGGATTTTTGTCTTAGAAATTTCAAATAACTCATAGTGAGCTAAATTTGAAATTCATAAACTTTCGCGAAGGAGCACCGAGTGACTTCGTGCCATGCACCAACCAAGCACTGGAATTCTTAGCAATTCAGAAATTTATAGAATCTTTGCAGTTTTCCAAAAATTTCGAGGCATGTGGATTTTATGGAATATTTCGCTGCACCCCTCGATTTCAATTCTACCTATGAGTAACGAGTGGCTATGAGAAGAGTCACTTGGGCCACCCGCAGGCTGGGTCGTGAGGGTCTACACGGACCTGGACCCGGGGGATAAGGAGGACTGGGCGTTCATGTGCGGGGTCCAGTGCAGGTTCCCTCACGTGGACTTCTGCTCGGTGGAGGGGCTGCCTCGGCTCGGGGATGTGACGGGACGCCAGCCGGTCGGTCGTCTGTGGAGGTATCTTCCCATGGTCGATCCTCTGGTCGATGTGTTCGTGTCACGGTGAGTCTTCTCCTTCGCTTCCTATGCATTTCGGCGTGTTTTGGGGAGGATTGAGCTCGGTCGACGGGGCGTGGTGGGCCCGTGGGGGAGGCGCGCTCGTTTGCTGTCCTGTTTTCTGTGCGTTTTTCGGTTCCACAGCGTGGGAGTGCCTTCTTTTTGTAGGGACATCGATTCTTACGTGTTGAAGAGGGAGGAAGAGGCAGTGACAGAGTGGCTCGCTTCTCCTTACGTCTTTCATTGCATGAGGGATCATCCGAACCATGGAGGACCCATCCTCGCTGGTACTTCATGCTTTCTCTGCTTTTTGCAGGTTAACGGGAATCGAATGGGAAAAAAAAAGTTTTCTTGTTGCTCCTTTATAACTGCTTTCGTGAACTGCTTTTTATTCGGAACAGCGTCTATTTCACCATACTTATTGCTTTCCCCATTATATGGATAATGGAGAATATTTAGACTCAATCGGCAGCTAAAAACGACATAATGCGATCGGTTTCCTCCTCTCAGGACTATGGGGCGCGAAGACGTACCTGAACCGAAGCATGATATCTGAAATCGGCAACAAAATCCTCTTCCAAGAGAATCCAAAATCGTACAAATACTTCGACCAAGACGTGCTCACGAAACACCTGTGGCCCGTCGCACGGCACCTCATGGTACGAAATTTTTTCCCCCGGCAGCAAGCCACCTCGATGTCTCAATTCGATTTCCGTTCCTCGCAGATGGCTCACGACAGCTTCACCTGCAAGCAGAAGGAATTCTTCGCGGCGTCCGTCCGGCCGTTCCCGACGCGGCGGGTCGGGAACCGGTACGTCGGCTACGGCGCGACGAAAGACTCCGCCGCGGCGGTCATCGCGACGTCTCACTGCCCCGTCGCCTGTCGGCCCGTCGAGCACCGGGAATGGGTCAAGTGCTGATCGCTCCGCAATTTTTTTTTATAATTTTAATCAGTTGATCAACAACCGATGAAAGCATGTGATGAATTGAAAATATTGATTTTCTTGAGAGAATATTGCATTGAACATTGAATATAATTTCTACCAGGCCACTCCCGATGGATAAATCATTCCACGAACACTTGCGAGTCCATGATCAATAAATTACAAAGCCAAATCACTTCAACACGATTGCCTCTCAATTCCCAAAACGTTCAACAATCCAGTTGAAGCCAGCGTGGACATTAAACAGGGATGCTAATCTAAACGTGACAAACGTTCCCACATTTAAATGTCATGGAACATCTCATCAATTAAATTAGCTTTTAATTTGTCAATCACCTGCGAATCGATCATCATGCCTCTGAATCACTTCCCTGTTTTATTTTTGCCGATTCACGACGCGCTGCTCAGTTCCGGGAATGTAGCGCCGGTCGTTTTCGCCTTGACCTCGCTCGACCTGGTTTGACCTCGACTTTGCTGAAAGGCTCTTCGCGACCCAGTTCAAGAATCAAATTATTGACGATTTTTCATCGATATTGGCTTTGGGGGTGGGTTGTAGTGGCTCTGGGTCCCATGCCCGGGAAAACGCGAAATCCGAGCAATCCATGAAAAAGTTTCCCCGAAACTATCGCATTAAGTTCTCTCCTGTCGATAGGCACGACCTCGCTTGAATTAACTCCTTCATGGCGTTGACCGCGTTTAACTATGTAAGGATGAAAAATCCTTTTTGTCAATTTGCATTGGAATGTATAATTTCAGTGACTTATAAAACGTTGCCATAATATATATTTTTCTTAATCTAAAAAAAAAAACTTCAAAAAGATTCCAAAAAGAAGACGTCGCAACCGTCCAAAAAAGTGTAACGGCGTTTGGTCACTGCTTCGCTAACCTTTTGGTCACTGATTCCGTCGTCCGCAGAGGGCCGACGCCTCTTTTTCTTTTCACTCTGGCTATCCGACGCGAAAACATTTTATCCGTCTGTATCACGTGGGACAAGATTTCGAAATACCGGTCAAGAAGTCGATTGGAAAGCTGAAGAAAAAACACGCACTTTCGGACAAAGGCTAGACAGACACGTTTTCTAATTGCAACTGTAATTCACATTGCAAATAAAATTGCGTCCATGGCCGCTAATATGATGCGCAACAACGATGATGTACACATTTGTCGTTTCGTGTTTTTTGAGATTTTAACTTGATTGAAAATTCATGCATTTTAATTTTAATTTTGGGACCCATCCAACTCTACTGAAACGCGACATCAGTAGCTCCAGAGCAAACACGAAGATGCCGAGAACCCAGCCAAAGATTAGAGGCACAAATGCCCAAGACATTCCAGAGAGAGTGAAGCAAAGCTGCTCGTCTGTCGTGGCGTCTCCAGGAATGCTTTCCCATAGGGTTCTGTTGGTCAGCTTTCGATTGTGTTCCAGCAGTTCTTTCCACCACTTCTTTATGAGCCCCGTCTGTCTGAATCGACGAATCACGTCCTGAAAGGCGTGCTGGAAACGCCAGTGCTTGGGGAATATGATCCCGACGTGGAAGAAGAGCAGGCACTCGTCTCCCACGTGGATCGGCGATGCACCGGAAGGATCCTGAAAATGAAGGAAATGCTGGTATCGAAGCATCGTCGCATCCCGGATGTAAGCCGCCTTCCCTTCCGCCACGAGCTGGAGAGCTTCGGGGACAGAGTAATAGGTTCTGTTTGGTAAATGCTGGAGTCTGGCTAGAGGGACTCCGAGCTCATTGCTAAAACCGTCTAGATAAGAAGAAGATACAATGGGGAGCCGAGACGCCATCAACTCTTGAAAGTTAGAAATGTCAGTTCCTCGGTCCCAAATCGTCAACTTCGACAGATGGCTGCTGTTGAAGTTGAACGTGATGACCATGACGTACAACATCACAGAGGCCAGGAATATTCTCTGCGAGTGATTTCTTCCCGGACGACGGATGGATTGACCGAAGAAAACGCCTACGATTTCCAGACAGCCGACGTTCTTTGGGCTCACGCGTGTATTCACAGCCAATATTGCAACATAGCAAATTCCGAGATAAATCCAGGTTTTCGCCGGGAAGATGCTCAAGACTTCTTGCCATCGAGAAACTTCAACTTTTGGCACCGCGTACAAGCTGCACTCGCTATCGTACAGCACTGCATCCACTGTTCGTACCAAGCTCTGGTAATAAAAGTCTCCAATCCCGAAATCTGCCGTTCCGTAGAGGACGTCTCCAAAGACACCAGGTACAAGAGTCCCACTTTGAGCTTCGATGGTTTCACCCCAGTCTTCATGTCCCAGTTTGGGCGAATAAGTCAACGAGAAATTCAATGCAGCAGCTGCCTCTTCGACCAGCCGATGTTCGATCCCGATGTGCTTCACATCGTCACCTGACACGATCGTGGCACAGAACGGAAAGTAATTGCGAAGCGAGGACACTGTTAATTTTCTGCTACCATGGGTATTCGGGGGGCACAAACTCTCTTCCGTGGGGATCGATTGAAATCCCTGCATTTGAACGGACGACCAACTTGATCCACAAGGATGCTGGAAATATAGGGACTCCTCAGCCACGATGAGGGTGCCGCGTCGATGCCGGAATATATTCTTCATTCTGTCGATTTCAGGATCCGTGATGAATAGGATAACCTTTTCTATCGTGCTGAACTTGGCCATGGACACGAGCAGATGCAGAATCCGTTTCTCCACTTCCTCCTTCTCGCACCCGCTCGGGAGGACTGCAATCACGAGCGTGCACTTGTCCATCTTCGAGCCGATGATATCCGTGGCGTCATCTTTCGAAAGGAAAGGCTTGAAGAGCGTGAGACCGAACACTTTGTTCTCCTCCTCCGAAACCACTCGAATGCGATCCACGAGGAGGAATCCCTCCTCCTCCTCGCCGGCGATCACGTGGACGTCGCAGTTCGAAGCTCGGAAGAGTCCGTTCAACAGCTTCCGGACGACTTCAGTGCGATTCGCATGGGCTGCAGCTAAGAAGTAGCAGCAGATCAGCAATGCTTGTTTCATTTCGAATTCTGAATCAGATCCTGGTTATATCACGTGGACAAGTTTGCGTGTTTCGCGACTCGACTCGACTGTGCCTGTCTTCTGCCAAGCTCTGTTGTCCCTACTGAATTATCTAGAGCGAACACAGCGCAGCCTATACCCGAGTCGATAGATCGATGGTGTTTTTGGATACTGGGCCTCATTGAACCGCGAATTTGAGATGGGCGGCCTCGAAAATGGACGTGCGACAGAATTTGGGCGTGGCAGAAGAAGATACGCAATATCAAAGACCCTTGGCTTCATTTGTTAAGTGCTCGGTAAATTTATTCTCTAAAAATAGCGAAATTAAATCGAACGGGAACAGGGCAACATTATGCGCTCTCCGACTAGCATGAAATTAGTTAATTAGAATTGAGTTAAAGTTACCAGTGATCGTTAAGCGAGAATATTTCACGACTAAAGTTAGAATATTCTATTGAAGTCGCCAGGTGACCGTCCTCTTGGCTCGACAAACTTATCGATTGGGACAAAAAAACCGCATAATATCCTCCCCACCCATCGGGACGACTTGTATCACATAAAAAGGTGGGAGATTTCCTTCGTAAGGAGTAAAGGCTTCACCTTAACCCTTTCGGTGCCGCGCGGTCGACTTTTCTGATGAAAAGCCGTGGCCGAAAAATCGGCCTTTGGAATCTTTGAAAATAGTACACGTAAGAGGTAGCGCCCATCCATCTCCGAGAGAAAAATCCCCCCCCCCGAAAAATCGCTCCCCCCCCCCCGCTACAAAAGGACCACAACGCCTCACTGTCTTTGGACTGTCAGCCTCTCCAGCATCGGGACTGGTTCAAGTGTTCATCAGTCTACAAAGTTTTTTTATATTTCAAGATATAGGCAAGAGATACCATTAAAACAACTTCCACAGTTTGCTTTCCTTTTGGACCACCCAGGATATGAGAAGACAGAAGAATCCATCAGGACTCGTCCAGAATTTTTGCCTTCTGTCATTATCCCAGATCACGATAGTACTCTAGCATTTCAGGAAGGCGAATATTTCAGTCATGACATTGCCCGAGGTAGAGGTGCATAATATACGAACCGCGGGCCGCATGCGGCCCACGGTTCGTATATTATGGCCTCGAGGCCCTTGCCGGCGCTCCGCCATGACTAATGGCGTTGTAAGTCCTACTATGGCTCCTGCCCCGTTGTTATTGTCAGCCAATTTGCGGTGCATTGTAAGTGCGTAAAAATCAGACAGGCCAGCCCTATCTTTTGAATGGTGCACTCCTGGCCCAAGGGAACGAGGTCCTCCGATTCCTCATAGAAATTAAACCACTGTATTCGTTTCCGTACTCCAAGTGACGAATCAATGGTAGCACTGAGAATTGTCTGCAAGGTCCAGCGCCCAAGTTGTAAATGGAATAGATCAATTCCGTAAGAGAACGAGGCCTGGAATGCATATAAGGAACCTCGAGGAATAATAATAATCTGTTGCGCTGATAACGACGTAGAACCAAACGAAGATCAGGAAAACTCAAGTCCGTTTCCAGATAGTCAATCTTCATTGGGCCAAGCATGGTATATCATCGGCAAGGTGCTTGGACCACTCTTGGTCGCCAACAATGGGCCAATTCCATTAATGTCTCATCGGCCGATGGATATATAATGATTCGTGGCTAGAATGGCCCAATGCTGACAACGTGATTGGGGCATTCTTGGATGCCAAGAAAGGCCTGTCTTATTTTCTGGACGATGGGCGATGGTTGGAGTTCGCTGTTACTAGAACATCCTTTCTAAGTTCTGGGTCTCCATATTGATGAGAATGAAACACTACAGACAGGAGCTCTTATATGCAGTATCAGCATGATTAATAATGCTTAATGACCCTGTCTCAGTTAAGAAAAACCTTCTTGCTTGGGCTGAGTGGTGGGGGTTGGGGAAGGAGAGGGGAAAAAAGGAAGTTTTTCTTAAACGAGACAGGGTT